AACTGCAAAGTGGTGCGAGAGGCCATGTGTTTCTTTATGGACATACAACTTGGGAATGGCATTGGCTTTGTACAGTTTCCATTAAGATTTGACAGCCTAGATAGGCATGATCGTTATGCCAACAAAAACACTGTTTTATTTGATGTGAGTGCTACAGTTTTGGCACTGAATTAATTCTCATCCTATCACCCTTTTTATCTCTTCTGAATTCATTTATTTCCTTCATTGGGGTAGATTTTGATAGATTACATTCTGTGTTTGTTTTTCTGCAGATTAACTTGAGGTGCCTAGATGGAATTCAGGGACCTGCTTATGTTGGTTCAGCATGTATCTTCAGAAGGAAATCCTTAACTGGCAGTGACTCACCAGTGTCTTCAAAACGCCCAAGCATGGTGCAAGTACATTCAAAACAGGATGAGAATGGAGAAGAAGCTAGCATAACAGGTGATCATAATTCTTTGTATTTATCAAAAACACAAAAGAATCATTTTCTTATCTCCTATATCTCAAACTACTCTTCTTCTGCAGCAGCAACAGATGAGGAAAAGGAACTATTGAAGTCACAGATGAATGATGAAAATAAATTTGGGAATTCCAATCCTATCATGAACCCTTCATTAACTGAAGAGGGTGGTATTGATCCTTCTTCCAGTCAGGAAGTTTTGCTTAAAGAAGCTATTCATGTCATGGGTTCTAAATATGAAGACAGAACTCTCTGGGGATATGAGGTATTCATTCATATGTAATGTAAACATAAGTTTTAACACTGCCAATCAATTCCAAATTATCTTTGATATGACACGCAAGATAATAATTAGAAAAGTCATCAAATTTTTCAGTTATGTGTAATTAGATGACAAAACAAAAGACTTTTACACTATTCGTATTGTCTCTGTAAAAAAGTTGCAGAAACTTAAACAATATAATAAAAGTTATTTGAAGTGGTAGATAAAATGGTGAAATATTTTTGGAATGCACAGGTGGGTTTAAGTTATGGATCTATAGCAGCAGATACTCTGACAAGTTTGAAGATGCATTGTCATGGTTGGAGGTCTGTATATTGCATGCCAAAAAGAGATCCATTCAGGGGTACAGCTCCTATCAACCTCACAGATAGACTCAACCAGGTGCTGAGATGGGCAGTGGGTTCACTTCAGATCCTATTCAGCCACCATTGCCCTCTTCTGTATGGCCTCAGTGGTGGAAGACTCAAGGGACTTCAAAGGATTGCCTATATTAACAGCACTGTCTACCCCTTCAGCTCAATACCCCTCCTAATATACTGTATCGTTCCTGCTATATGCTTGCTCACTGATAAATTCATCACACCATCGGTATCATTTATTTCCTTCTATTTATTATATCACTACTTTCATTTGCTTTATAGAAAAAAAAAGACACAATATGTCATTGGATAACCAGTAACTTCTAACTTGCCAACTTGTAAGATATGTCTAAATAAAGCAGTCTAGACTAAATGAACTATAATGCTTATGTTTGTTGAACATTTCTTAAACTCAAAATAAAATGTCAAATCACAATGTACAAAAATAAATAACAATGATACATGAACACCTAACTACATAGTATAAACACTCTTCATTTATAGTTCTCATTTCTTTTTATCACATAATCACTGTTCCTTTCTTTCCCGAAACAGTATTAAAAAATACCGTTGAGAAAGTGAAAGATGCTCTTTCGAATGGTTTAAACAGTGTAAAGATAACTTTTTTATTGTTGGTTGGTATTCCTTCCCATCAAAGATTCATTGACAGATGAAGAGTGATTGATTTCCAGGTTGGCACTTTTGCAAGTCTAGTTTTCACCGCATTGTTCATCTCAATCTTTGCCTCGGCTATTCTTGAATTGAGATGGAGTGGAGTTAGCCTGGAGGAATGGTGGAGAAGCCAGCAATTCTGGGTGATTGGGAGTGTGTCTGCAAACCTCTTTGCCGTTGTGCAGAGCATTATGGGAGCTCTTCCACTGGGTAGAGTGAACACAAACTTCAGCACTGTATCAAAGGTTCCAGACGATGTAGAGTTTCGTGAACTGTATACCATTAGATGGACTGCACTTCTAATACCTCCAACCACCATCATAATAATCAACCTCATTGGTATAGTGGCTGGCTTCACAGATTCCATAAACAGTGGAGAACATTCTTGGGGAGCACTGCTTGGGAAACTCTTCTTTTCTTTATGGGTTATTGTCCATTTGTATCCTTTCCTTAAAGGTCTAATGGGTAGGCAGAACAGAACACCAACTCTTATTGTCATATGGTCTGTGCTCTTGGCTTCTATCTTCTCCTTGGTTTGGGTGAGAGTTGACCCTTTTGTGTTGAAAACCAAGGGACCTGATGTCAAGCAATGTGGAATCAGTTGTTGATTCTACGTCTCAAGAACCATGTAATTTATTTACAACTACGAAGGATGAAACAACAATCTAGGTCCACAGAGATTTGTAATGTTAGAGTAAAATTTTTTTGAATCAAAAAAATTGCAGCATGTCCTTGCGTATTCCCTTTTGCATTTTCATTAAATGAAGAAAATGGAGAGAATGTACTTAATTTTTCTAATTGAAACAGAAGTGTTACCCAGGATTCCTTTTTTGGCTGCTCATGAGATCCCAACTTAAAATGGTTATTTGACTTACTGAAATCGAAAGAAGACATTAAACCTAGCATCATCATGAACCAACTTTTACAAAAGCTAAGCACATGAATGCTTTTTCATATCAACAGAATAGGTGGTTAGGACAAAAAAAAAACAAAATAGAAAGGGAAAATATGTAATATAATGGAAAAAAACACCATTCAACAATTTAATGCATGAAATACATCAGAAGAATTCGAAACAGCAGGTTTAATGTGTTTAATAGTGTCTAATTTAGCAATGGATTTAGTGATGACGCAAAATTCTCCCGCATAGCATAAGCTGATAGTTGTTCACAGATTTGTTTTTGATACCATTCCAAAAGGTCTATTACCAATGAAGATATCTTATATGTATATAAACTCATGTCTATCTCTTATTTTATCCAATGTGTGACTTTGTTTCTACCCAACGTCACGACGGTCCTAAAGAAAAATATTCTTATTTAATAACATTTTTTTTTAAAGAGAAACCAAAAAAGCATAAGTTTTTATAAATCTTATGTAATATTGTGCTAAACCATGGATTCCCTTTAATTTTAACATTCTAAGGCATTGGTCCATTTAACTTTCCTTAAACTTTTTCTTGGTCCATTACTACCCATCACCCGAGATTGTACAACCTTTATAATTATTTTTGTTGAAGGCCAAATGAGCATTTGGATAATTTAGAAAACAACTTATTCTTCTATAAAAGCTACAACACTATTTCCAAATGTTGCAAATGAGAGGTCCATAATTAGCTATATACTGGGATGTCATTAAAGAATATTAAGATGAACTTTTGTCTAAAACCTAGAAACATTCATAACAATTTGAAATGTGGAAAGGATATTAATAAGCCCAAATTGCATGTCAAGTCATTCACAATGATCTGGTAATAATCTAATCTTATAGTCAATTTAAAAGAAATAACACTACAAAAAAGTAGGGTATTACCGAAGGCCAGAAGCCCTCGGAAAATGCCAAAGGCCGTCGATAATGGGTGTTTACCGAAGGCTTATCGACGGCCAAAAATCCTTCGGTAAATCTCTTGTCGCTAACAATTACTGAGGGCTTTTGCCCTTCAGTAATTACCGAGGGCCAAAAGCCTTCGGTAATTACCGAGGGCCAAAAGCCTTCGGTAATTACCGAAAGACAGTATCACATAACAGTTCATTTATTTCTCTTTATTTCTCTATAACAGCAGCTCATTTATTTCTCTGAAAAATCTGCACTTATCCAATTAAAAAAAACACATAACAGCTCATTTATTTCTCTATAACAGCTCATTTATCACAAGGCAAATTCCAATTCACTATAACAGCTCATTTATTTCTCTGAAAAATCTGCACTTATCCAAACGAATAATAGCAACGTGCAAAATTGAATTCCTAATGCACTACACCTACAATTAACCAAACGAATCTAATACATATTGCATGATATGACAAAACAAACAGCAATTGCACTACTTTCCCTTGTGATCTTCGAAGCTCTTTGGAAATATCTCGAAGCTGAGAGAGCGTAACAGGATTCCCTTGAAGGACCCATTTCTGAAGAATGTTTGTGGCGCTTCGCTTAGGGAGCCTTAGCCTCAAGATTCTGCTCCTTAGGTCATCACCTTCCACACTCTCTTCAACTAAATCATTGCTCACAGCACCCAAAGCAGTGGTGAACAAAGAATCATACCAGGGTCATCAAAGAAGCAACCAATTCCGGTTGCTGAGATTCCAATAGCATGTGCTTCAAGGTACAACACCTGTCCAAGGAGTCAAGTTTCCTAAAATAATATACACCCAGACATTCTTTTCACGCAAAGTAGGTTCCATACGGGCCAACATACCAAGGCTGAAGCAACCATCACTTGCAATGTCCTTCAAGAACGTGATACACTTGTAAAACAGGATATACAATATTCGTGGAGTATCAGTTCAGATTCTAATTAGAAATAAGACTGATATTAGTGTTACACAGTTAATGGTATAATATCATTGTACATTAGACTTATCAATATATAGAATCAATCAAAAGCTAAATTAATTTTGTAACTCAACCAGTAGATGTTAAGATAATAAAGCACAGAAATAAGTCAAAGCTTTAAAACCCAGATACACAAATCCCATACTATGATGCTATTAGGAATAAACAACATTCTGTTCACTTATTCAGTAGAGACAAAAGTACCAGACAATATGTGATAATTGTGAAGCGAATGGATATATTATTACTTTATACAAACCAAATAAACTGTGTTTAAATAATAATTCCTGCTTCAAATTGAGAACAATGGATAAAGACAGATGTTCAACTCTATAGTGCTATTAAATCCACTATGTTCTACACACCTTCAACTCAATGTTTACTTTTCCTAGCATTTAACATATATATAGTGTACGCATGGCACACAATTAATTAAGCTAGCTGAAAAGTTGTCTTAGATGGTTGCATGGAAGGAGTATAGTGAATACTATCACTTTAAATTCTTTAAGCGCTAAATAATATTATCGTACTTTTAGCAGATTGCTTTCATCCCAAATTATTTAGTCCTTCAAGTATTTTCATTTCAAATTATTATTGTGGAACTCCATGAGACTAAGTGCCAGCCTCCAATACGCCACAGATGATGACTATAAATAAATAGCTAAGATATCATACACTATCAAAATGATATATTTTGCATTTAGAGTCTCATGATGACAGCTTACCTTCAATGCTATTCCCAAGCAGGCTTGGCGATTTTGTGGACGCCCCAAAATTAAACTCCAGATAGCACCAAGGCCTTGAGTCACACGTTCAATGTCACGGATAACTTTTCCATCATGACCAATAATATCAGAATAGCAGACATCATTCAAAATCTTCAAGGACGACTCAGGCAAAAGTGGAACTTCACCAAGAAGTCTATTAAAAGACTTGTCTGAAGCTGGAAAAGAGTCCAATAAAGTTTTGGCCTACAAGGAAGTAGTATATCCCACATTTACAAGAAAAAGATAGAAAAATATTGTTCATTACGACCAAATAACTAATTTTGAGCATACCACTCCCAAGAGAAATTTTTCATATAAAACAGCAGAAGATGAAGCATTTTCAACTGAATCGAATATCATCAGGGAGTGCAGATGGTACAAAACATGCAGTACAAGTTCATGTCCCTGAAAATCCATCAGTAAGTGATCAATTAGTCTATAAAAGAAATTAAACAACAGAAACAAATTTTCAGAAAAACGTCTGTAAAATGTTAGAAAAAGTACTTAAAAAAGTTGAGTCAAGAATTAAGATCAGTTTTTTATCTAAGCAATACTTATAAAAACATCCCAGGTGATAAAACAGAACTCTACTTTACCAACTAGTCTCCCTTTATAAATTCTTTATACATTGGAACAATAGCAAGATTCACACCACCCTACAGTATGCAGATTTGAAGAATAGACTATATCTATTTATCATGTTCCCAAACATACTTTACAGCACATTTTACACCAAGTAAAATCCTATTCATGAGCTTCAAATACAATACTATATATGATTTTGCTTGGTAGTACAAACCTTGAGTGGCACAAGCACTGACAGTTATTCCATGGTTAATCTATGGTATGAGGTTGAGCCTTCAAGGAATTGAATGGTTAATTGTTTCTTGATTCAAGGCTAGCCATTCAAATAAACAGTCTCTCCACTCACAGGGTTAATGCAAACATACACTCTTCCTAAACCCCACTAGGTGGGAGCCTTGTGCACTGTGCCACTCATGTTTACAATCTATGATGTATCTTACAAATGTCTAGATTCACAAAAACCAAAGTTGACAAGATAACCTACTTCACATATGTAGTGGAAATTTACAAGCAACACAGTGATTTCTTACACATAAATCATTACACTAATATAATATCATTCATTACTTGATCAGTACCAGACACGGATTGGACAGAATTTATTGGAACAGAAGTTGCTATAACATGTGATTGACTGACTTGGGAGTTTAATTGTCGTGTTGCTGGTAAATTCCCAATCCTTGACAGTGGTGGGGGAGTCTTAGGCAAATGCTTCATATTAGTTATGACAATATCAGCCAGTAGATCAGGATGAATCTTTCAAATGAGGATCTCAATAGTTATATTGTTTCGAAAAAATAATAAATAGAAGTTAGTATGAAGTGGTTATAATAGGGGTAGTTAGGAGGAGTTTAAACATCAGTTAGGGGAAGTTTTAATTGATAGTAAGGCAGTTCTTATCTTTTAAGGAGGAGGGTGTTGTAGTTCTGTGGGTGGACTGTATTTTGTTTCAGAACAGGGATTGTCCTCTAGAGAAGGGAATTTCTTCCCTTCGAACCTATCATTTACTCCATTTTCTTATCTTTCTTGAACCAAGACCTATCATTTACTTTCAGCACTCTTCTATGCTTTTGGCTTGATCACTATAAATAGCTATATATTGAGAAACTACGTTCTTTGTATCTCACACTAACTCTTAACCTAGTAGTAAACATGAATACCAAAACCACTTTCTTCTTTTGCTTCCTCTGCGCGTTGCTTCTCATCTATACTATGTTAACTCAGCCATCTAAACATGCTACAATTGGTAACTATACTGCATTTGTTCCTTCCTGAAACCAACATGAATCACTCTTCTACCAACTAATCTGCATCTTTCTTTCTTGTTATTCCTATTCCCATTTCACTAAACCAATTCAATATAACTTGCTTTTCATTTTATTTCCACTTTCCAATAATAATAACGAAAACTTGTCCCAGTTTATTAATCCAAAAGCCAGTACAGAACATACCTCAATGTCGAAGCCCGATAGCCTCCCTTGACAACGACAGTCGTCCTCACGTCACGGGAGCAACCTCCTCTCTGCGCCTTGGCACACACCCTAACGTTAACGGACCACCCTCCTCACGGCAATGCCAACGCACTGCTCGAACACCACCGAACCCTACCCGCACAATGCCACCAGACAGACGAGAAAGGGACAGCGAGAGGAAGAAAAAACTCAAGCAAAAGCCAGAGGGAAAGAATGGGAAGCACAAATTGGGGACGAGAACGAACAGGGGGGAATGGGGGAGCACAACCAAAGTCCACCTTTCACGAAATTGGGGACGACAGCAGAGAGGGAACAGGGTCTTCTCTTACGAAATTAGGGCCGAGGTATTACAACACCCCCAATTACTTAATTTAAGGTGTCGAGCATCTTACCGAAGGCCACAACCCCTCGGTAATGCTCTTTTGACCTTCGGTAATTACACTTCACCATGCCCTTCGGTAATGCCGATTTTGACCGTCGAAAAAATTTATTTACCGACGATCATTTGGCCTTCGGTAATAATCCTTCGGTAATAATCCAAATTCTTGTAGTGTAATGTGTGTCAATCAATTCATCGACTATTGGAGAAAAATTATCTTTTGATAGTATATAGTATTCAAATTCCTATAATCAATACAAAATCCTTAAGTACTATTTTTTTTACTTGCGTATGAGAAGAAAAGGAACTTATGATAGGCATAAGTACTCCTTCATTAAACATATGATGCGCCATAAAATTGATTTGTTTTTTACTTGGAGGATATTTGTAAGATTTTACCTTTGTAGCGGTAGAACCAGGTAACAAGGGAGTGAAATGATCCTAGGTTTTATAGGAGTTAGTCTGATAGGAGTAGCAAAACACATCCTGGTATGTATGCAATAACAAATTTATTTCTAGCTCTAATTTTTTTTGGCAATTTTATCCATTGATTCATAATATAGTGTGGAAAATAATTCACAAGGTGAAAAATTAAGCAATGGCTCTAATGTGATCCTAGTGTAGCCAAAATGTTTGAAATTGGTAGCAAGTAGACATGTAACCTTGAACTTGTTGAGAATTCAAGTGTGATTTTAAGTCTCAATTAAATAAAAATAAAAAAGTTGAGTATCATATAAGAAAGAAGATTCATAAATCAATTGTCTTAGTGTGAGTTGGATTCAGATCATATTTATGTAATCTCCATTAATTAATCTTCCTTTTAAAATAGACCCATCAAAACTTTAGTCCTTGGAAATTACGAATAGGTTGTGTTCTTGTATGGAACCAAATTGTCATTTAAGATTTGGTATGTCCCTATTCCGCTACCCGAGATGTTCCCTTGAACTCTTTAGATGGATAGAAGAACGGTGGATACCTATAAACACTTTGATGTTGAAGTGAGTTAATGTGATTTAGGTAACCTGGTTAAGAGAGTAGATTTCAAGATACCTTTAACCTCGAAAAAAAGTTTTTTGTAAACCTATGACCCTTATTAATTATGTTAAACTATTTTAGAAAGGTTTAGATCTTCCGGTAAATGTTAATTGGTGGTTGACCTTCAGAAGACACTCCGACCCTCAAGTCAGATATGTTTCATAAAGAGTTCTATATTTTATTAGGATAGAAGAAGATGATTGTACCTGGACATTAGTTGTTTACTTATAAGGCTTGTGACAGCCACGTCCATTGATTAACCATTAGTGCAATATATTTTAGGCAATATGACCTATTAGTATCTGTTTAATGACAATCAATTCCGATCGGTATACTTCATATAGTACACTAATGAATGTTTGTTAAAACGACAAATAGACTCATTGACACATTGTCTAGGTTGACATGATGTTGAGAATCTTTGACCATTATGATCTTCAGTTGCACATAACTAATATGTTTTTGGTCGAGCTGAACTCTAGCTTACATATTGTAGTTGGTTTTGGCATAAATGAGCTCAATATTTTATAGTACACTAGCCCTCTAGACTTGATGTGATGTATTGTAACAAATGTCTTGAAGCAAAACTATACACAAATACGTCATAACAAATCAGGAACATATTTTTTAAATACTATTATTCAGGGTAAGCCAAGATAATTTTTAAGATGATCAATTGTGATTTCTAATATAATCCTTATTTCTCTTAGTACATCTATCTAATCCCCTGAGTATTGAGGGCAATGAGCTAATCTAAAATGAAAAAGGCATTACTGATAATATGGCTATGAAGATATCAGTGGTTTATTTTTTTTGTTGCACTCAATTTTCTTCATTAGGTATTATCCAACATCATTTAGTGACAATCTTGACCAATAATCTTAAAGAGCTAAAATAATATATTTAATATTTATATATTTAATTATTGTTATTAATACAACAAAAATGAAGACATAATTTAATATAACTAAGTATAAAATAAATTCACATGTCTAAAGGATTGATCTTTGTTCATCAATTCTTGAACTAATTAATAATTAAATTATAACTAAAATTTTTAGCTATTTTCTTTTATAAGAAATTTATTTTCCAGTTTATTTGTTTTGATAACTTTTATTACAAAAAAATGTCTTTTTTGTTATAGTTGTAAAAACAAAAAAAATTAAATAAGATAAATTAAGTGATCAATAAGAATAAATGAGAAATAAAAACATAAATAATGAGTAAATTTGTATTTAACTTTTTTTTTTCTTTAGAAACAAAAAAGAGACATAAAAAAATATTAAATATGAACACACATAATAATAAGTAACTCAAAAGACAATAAAAAACAAAAAAAAATTAATAATTCTTTTAATTTTTTATTACATTTAGTTTTATATTTTACTATTTATTAATACTAAATGATGTACTTTATAAATAAAAAATAAAAAATTTAATTACCATAAATTTCTGCTGTACATAGATAAAATTTTAAAATTTTGAGAAGGCAGGAATTGAAAGAAAATCCGCATATCCGGCCCTTGGTGGCATCCAAACGGGAGTGAGAATATTTTTAAAGGAAATTATATGGTTTAAGCTAAAACTTGATATTACTATTTAAAGAAATAATTATTTGCTAAAGTGACATGATGAGTGCCACATGTAAAACATTATTTTCAACTCTTTAATTGGCAAAAGAAGTCCTAACACTTTCCCTAATTGCCAACAAAGGCCATAAAAAATGTGAAATAAATAATTTCTATAATAGGATAGTGGCTATTTTTTAATTCCACCATTATTTCAGCTTGCATATCTCGTGAGGAATTATTTACCTTTTTCTTTTTTACGGGTTGAAGCCCCACACCACATAATATAAATAGAAAAAATAACACATAAATGTTTAATAATGTGCTCATTAAAATAAATAAAAAATGGATTACATCTCCATCAATTATTCAATCATTATTTTCAAAATTATATTCTTAACTGTTC